AGGGTCTCACTATTGTTTAGGGCCTCCCTAAATTGCTGAGGTTGGCTTTAAACTTGTGATCCTTCTGCTTCAGCCTCCCAAGTCACTGGGATTATAGGCATGCACTACCATGCCCAGCTTTTTTGGTGTTTCTATGGTTTAAAATTCAGAAAACTTGATCTAATAATTTAAAAGATTTATTAGCTCAGTAGTAGAGCATTTGCCTAATGAGCCTAAGAGGCCCTAGGTTTGATTTCTCCAGTTCTAAAAAAAAGAAAAAATTAAGAGGGAACATCATCCTGTATATTTGGCAGATTACACAGAATTGTATTTACTTTGAATTTTATTATATTCATTTGGTAAGTGTATCCGTAGCTCACCTGTTGCTATGAGGTGAAGGACATCCAAATATGTGGATAGTATTTGATTATAAGCTGGCTTCTGGACTGGCCATTTCTGCACTGACCAGATTCTTATTTATTTGTTATATCAACTTCAACCAACTAGCAAAACTGCCTGAAAGGGTCTTGGGATGTTTATTAAACATAAAAAGCATTCACCCCTGAACCCAGATAGATCACTCGGGTCTTGGGCCCAGACAAGAGCTGACTGATCCAGTGGGGCTCAGGGGTGAATGTCTGATCCGTCCGTTAGCACGTCAGATTCACCCTTAGAATGGCAGGCATTCTGGCTGTGAGCTGGCTGTGCTTGGCATCATACTGCAATGCAAAAAGGCCCACAGGACATAGGACGTCATCTCCTCTTCTTTCCGGGAGGAATCAAAATTTAGTTCTTGCTGATTATTCTATTTTTGTGGCACTGGAGATCAAACACAGGCCCTCAGGAATGCTAAGCACATGTTCTACCACTGAGCTCCATCCCCCATACTCCAACTAAGGGGCAGTATGTTGGGGCTGGAGATGTTGCTCAGTATAGAGCATTTGCCTGGCATATGTGAGGTTCTGGACTCAATTTCTCAGCACCACAATCAATCAAAGAAATGAACAGGCACTATATTAACATGGTTTAAATTTTTTAAAATAACAAAACACAAAGGATTTTCAGTATAAATTCTCCCTCCTACTTCTGGGTCCCAGTCACTTCCTTTCCCTTCTCAGAGTCCCTGTGTGATGGTTGTTTTTTTGTGTATTTATTCAGATATTTTAGCATATATGAGCAAAAAATAAATCTTTATCTTTCATCCTTTTAAAAAATAGAAATGGCATGTTGTAATCCTGTTGTGTACTCATTATATTTAGAAATAAAACTAGGATGATATATATAAATATATATATATATTTTTTTAAATTTTTTTTGGTACTGGGAATTGAACCCAGGGGCACTTTACCACTGAGCTACATCCCCAGTCTTTTTAAATTTTTGAGACAGGGCCTCACTAAATTGCTGAGGCTGGCTTTGAACTTGGGATCCTCCTGCTTCAGCCTCCTGAGTTGCTGGGATTATAGGCATGTACCTCTGTGTAATATACCACATCATATTTAAATGAAGTAAAATCACATATTCATTTTTCTTTTTTTATATATCTTTATTTTATTTATTTATATGTGGTGCTGAGAATCAAACCCAGGGCTTCACACATGGTAGGCGAGTGCTCTACTTCTGAGCCACAACCCCAGCCCTCATTTAAGTTTTGAACCAGCAATTCCACTTCTAAGAATCTATCCAAAAGATACAGTGGCTAAAATACAAATTGTTGTATGTAGGCTATTCACAGAACACATCAAAAGGGAAGAATGAGAGCCGGGTGTGGTGGCACCCTTGAACCCAAGGGTGCTTACCACTGAGATACATACATCCCCAGGCCTTTTTATTTTTCATTTTGGGACAGGGGCTTGCTAAGTTGTAGAGGCTGGCCTGGAACTTGCGATTCTCCTGCCTCCGGAGTCACTGGGATCACAGGCATGCACCACCACTCCTGTTTGGAAGACCTCTTTAGTTGTACCTTAAGGGGGAAAAAAAGGAAACCTAATTTTATCTTTGAAATCATAAATATTTTACATAAATTTAATTTTTAAAAAGCATCCCTAAAAAGTGAAAGCAAAATGAAATAACATTAACTGTGTGTAGATTTGGAGCAATATCTAGAGAGAGGAACTATTGACTTGAAAATACCATTGCCTGAGGAGGGTTCCTCAACTTCAGCTCTACTGATTTTGATCCTGGTAATCTGGGGCGAGTGGGGGGCAGTCGTGCTTCATAAGATGTTAGCAGCATCCAAAGCTCAGGTGATCTTCCATAATTGGCCACACTTGTACTATCACATATCATTGCTAGGAGATTTAGGCACTGTCCACGTGCCTAACACTGGGATAGTGTTTGAAAATATAAACTGTATTATTATTATTCAGGTGTAGTGAGACCAAAGAACAGGAGATGACTGCCACTCACAAGAGAGCTCACTACACTCACAGATCTAAGGAGGAGGGCAAGGCGTGCCACAGAAGCCACGGAGGGAAGTACCAGGGTCAGTTAGGAGGCAGAGGGAGTGAGGGATAAAGTGGGTGAGAGCCTTTATTATGGTTTCCATTGGAAGGGAGGGGACAAGGCCGAGTAAGCAGGCTCTGGTGCTATGGGCTTGTGTTAGCTTTCTGTCACTGTGACAAAATTCCTGAGGTGACCAACTTAAAAACAGGAGGGGCTAGCTTGCCCTGAGAAGGGCAGTATTTTGGTTTACAGTTTTGAAAGTTTTAGTCCAGGGTCTGCTGGCCCTGCTGCTTTTGGGTCTGTGCTAAGGAAGTACATCATGGCAGTGAGGATGTGGTAAACTGCTCACTTGTGACAGCTGAGAAGTAAAAGGGGAGAGCAAGGGGCTGGAGTCCCACTACCCCCTTTAAGGGCACATCTCCAGTGACTGAAGACCTCCCACTAGGCTCCACCTCCTCAAGGTCTCACCACCCTCCTCTGGGGTCAAGCTGGGAATCCAGCCTTCAATGCACAGGCCACTGGAGGCAACTATAGCTGGCTTGTCCCAGTTTCCTAACACCTGACCATGAGTATCAGGGCAGAAGTACAGTGGCTCAGAGTGTAAGTTCCATAAAGGAGATGGTTGGGGTATGGCTCAGATTGCTTGTGTCATATCAAAACATGCACTCACTCTGTAGGAAACAGCTAGCTTGCCCTGGGAGGGCAGTATCTTCAGGGTCAGCCAGCCAAGTCCCTCCTCCCCTCCATGACAAGGCATCAGAAACACAGGGTTAATACAGGGGGGACAATCAGAAGCTTGGGTGTGTTTTCTCTTAGACTTCACTCATGTGCTTTTCCTTTCGCTGACTTTAATCTGTACTCTTTCTCTACAGTAAGCAGGAATACTGAGTCTAACAGCTTTTCTAGTTCTGTAAATCCATCCAGTGAATCATGGAACCTGAGGGTAATCTTAGAGATCCCTGACACAGCTGCTAACAATGAAAGGTGAGAGGGTGGTGGGATAGATCAGCTGACCCCACAGAAAGGGTGACCACCACATATGAAGGTCCTTTAGATATGATGCAACAGAGTACACAGAATCACCTACGAAGTGTTCACGTTGAATCAGCTGACCCTGGATCGTTATAATTAAGTCTCTACATGTAACTGCAAATGTACAGGAAATATGGCAGCAAGAGGAACCTGAAGAAAATAAGCAACCAAATCAAAACATGGGAAAATTTACAAGACAATAACCCATTTTTCGATACATAAAAAGGAAGATATAGAGTTATGGATTCTTTAAAAGACATATCAAATACCCTGGGTAGGCCTTGTTTTGATCCTAATTTGGACAAATCAATACTCATAACAATAAACAGTGTGTTGTCCTTTGAGTCTTTTCCCTTATGGACATTATGCCTGTGCTTGCCTAATGCCATTGCCAGACACGGAGGCCTCAGAGATAGGTGGCCTGTCTTGGGTATTCTGCCATTAGCCTAGAGCGGATGTTTGTTAAGTCTGAGTAATACATTCTTGGGGACCCATCACACTATTCTATATGTGCCTCTTTAAGTGTTTCTGGCCAGGTGTGATAGCACACTCCTGTAATCTCAGCAAATTAGGAGACTGAGTCAGGAGGATCACAAGTTCAAGAACAGTCTCACCAATTTAGCAAGGCCTTAAGCAACTTAGCGAGACTGTCTCAAAAAAAGGGGGCTGAGGATATGGCCCAGTGGTTAAGTGCCCCTGGGTACAACCCCTGGTACAAAAAAAAAAAAAAAAAAAGACTGTGGGTAAAGCTCCTGCCCAGGTGTCCTACCTGCTGTTATAGTGTGGGTTTGCTGTCAGGAAAAAGAATCCCCCGGATTAAAGCAGAATACTGCAGAGCCTGGCCTTCAGGTAGTGGTGTTTTTGCCTTTCTTACTAGCTATCTAAAAGGATTTCTTATGGAAAAAAATTCAATTATGATTTATTGTAAAAAAAAAAAAAAAAGATTTATTGTGTCAAAAAAGTATTACTCCTGGGCTGGGGACAATTGATAGAGTGCTTGCCTTGCATGCACAAGGCCCTGGGTTCAATCCCCAGTATGAAAAAAAAAAAAAAAAGTATTTCTCCTATAATTAAAAAGATTAAGAATATATATTCACACAAAAACTTATCTATGAGCCGGGTACAGTGGTGCACACCTGTAATTCCAGTGGCTTGGGAGGCTGGGACAGGAGAATCAAGAGTTCAAAGCCAGCCTCAACAACTGTGAGTTGCTAAGCAACTAACTCAGTGAGACCCTGTCTCTAAATACAATACAAAATAGGGCTGGGGATGTGGCTCAGTGGTTAAGTACCCCTGAGTTCAAACCCTGGTACCAAAAACAAACAAACAAACAAACAAACAAACAAAACTTGTCCATGAATGTTCACAGAAGCACTATTCACAAGAGCCAAAAGTAGAAATGATCCAAATGTCCATTAAATAATAATCTAATTTAAAAAATTATATATCCATACAACTAAACATTTCATAAAAAGGAATAAAGTACTGATTCATACTACAACATGAATCTTGAAAACATTATGCTAAATGAAATAAGCCAGTCACAAAAGACCACATGTTGTTTTATTCCATTTACATGTAATGTTCAGAACAGGCAAAATCACAGCAGAAAATAGATTATTGGTTGCCACAGGGCTGGGGAGTTGAGAAAAAATGAGGACAGACTGCTAATAGGTATTATACTAGGTTGAACAGTATCCCCCCACAAATTTCACATCCATCTGGAACCTCAGAATTTGACTCTGTTTGGAAATAAGGTCTTTGCAGATGTAGTTCACTGAGATCAGAGTGAATTAGGATGGGCCCTAATTCATATGACTGGAGTTCTTACAGGGCCAGGTAAAAACAGAGGTATATAAAGGGAAGAGGGCAGGTGAAGACCGAGGCAGAAACTGGAGTAAAGTAGCTAGGCCAAGGACGGCCAAGGACGGCTGCGAGCCAGCAGTGCCAAGGAAGAAGCAGGGAAGGATCCTTCCTAGGTTTAGAGGGAACATAAGTCCCATTCAATTTTTTTTTTTTGGGGGGGTAGGGGTACGGGGGATTAAACTAAGGGGCACTTGGTCACTGAGCCACATTCCCAGTCCTATTTTTGTATTTTATCTAGAGACAGGGCCTCACTCATTGCCTGGCACTTGCTTTGGCTGAGGCTGGCTTTGAGCTCACAATCCTTCTGTTTCAGCTTCCTGAGCTACTAGGATTACAGGCGTGTGTCACCATGCCCAGTCCCATTCAATTTTGACCCCTTCATTTTGGATTTCTAGATTTCAGAAATGACAGAATTATTTCTATTGTGTTAGAGCCATGCAGCTTGTGGTAGGTACTTTATTAAGAAAGTCCTTGAAAACTAACATGAAGTTTTTTTATAGGGGTAATGAAAATGTTCTACGGTTGATGGCTGTGTAACTGTGGATATTCTAAAAATCACTAAATTGTATACTTTAAGTAGGTGAATTTTATGGTATGTGAACTATAGCTCAATAAAGCTGTTATTAAGAAATATTTAAAATTATTAAGAATGCCAACCTTGAGTGACTCCAACATGGAGAGCTGTTATTTTCAGTCCAATGTTATTAAAGGTGAGAAGAAGTTGAGAGCTAATATTAGATGTTAGTCCAACAGGATTGGTTGCTAGGTCTGTTGCTGATTTACTATAGGGACTTGTGGCCTTTTAGACAGAACTCTTAGCTGTCAGAAAACCAATGCCAAGAGGCTTATTAATCAAAACAATAGGAATCTGGGCCACTTAACAGGTCCAGGGTGGCTGCTGGCTTCAGGCATCCAAATCATGTCCCTAGAGCTTGGTCCTCCTGGCTGCTTTCCTCCTCCCCTGGCTGTCTCTACTTGGTAGGAAAAGTCGGCCACCATAGTTCCAAGACTATGTGGCCCTCACACCTCTGACCAAAAGAGAATCTTTCTTGTCAGTGCTGAAAACAGGGCCGTCCAGAGCAGGCTCACATTCCTGGGCCCGGGAGTCCAGTTAACCTCAACCAAGCCCGACTGCTGAGGCCTGAGAAAAGGATGGCTCCCCAGAGATAGAGAGGCTGGGGATACAAAATTCATGTTCTCTAAGCCTGATGAGCTGTAAGGCTTCAGATATTACACATCATTTCAGTCCAATAAATACTTGCTGAATCAATGTAGAAACACATAAAACTGAGCTGCTGGAGAGTGATTTTATAGCGTCATGTTCCAAACTCTAATTTTGAATTGTAGAGAAGCAATAAAATACAATGGAAGTCAGATGCCCAGGTCATCAGTGAGATGCCATTTTAGCAAAGAGCTTCTTCAGCTCTCAGTCAAGTATAGACTGCTATGTTCTGGATTCCATCTACGTTATACAAAAATGAGGTACAGTCCTCTGGGAGAAGGTTTTTTTTTTTTTTTTTTTAATTTAGCCATTAGAAAAGCTTAAGGATTATCCTGCATGAAGGAAGAGGCAGTCAACATGAAGAGTCCTGCTACCAGCAGATCTTCTAAAAACTTCTCTTTCTCATTTAAACTGGTGATAGTCTGGTGGGTTTCTGATCCAGGATGCAAAGGCTTGCTTCCGGAGTGCACTCCAGGCTTCCTGGTAAGCAGATGCAGCCTCCTTGTGCTCCTGGTAGGTATCCAACTTCTGCAACCTAATGCACACACACCAACACAGGTTCTCATGGAACCACTCACCTTTGGGGCCCAAGACACCTGAGCAAGTAGCTGGAGAAACTGTATTGAGAGACCAGAAACAGAAGGATGTCACTGTACTTCCCCAGAGCAACTGTCTTCTTTGTAGAGAATTCATATAAAAGCAACATGGGCTAAAACAGTAAAAACGAACAGAATAATAGAATACTAGTTTTGTATGGTTCTGGTAGAACCAGATAAAGGCAGAATAACTAAGTTTGTTTTTGTTTAAAGTTTTCTACCAGAGGCGCTAAAGATTAGAAACTTCTTGGCTACCTTTTTCCTTACAAAGAATTTTCCATTGTTTGGGTAGTGGCACACATCTGTCATCCCAGCTACTCAGGTGGCTGAGGCAGGAGGATGGCAAGTTTGAGGCCAGTCTGGGTAACCTAGTGAGACCCTGTCTCAAATATAAAAAAGGCTGGAAATGTAGCTCAGTGGCAGAGTGCTCCCTTAGCATGCAGGAAGTCCTGGGTTCAGTCCCCACTATTGTAAAAGGAAAACTCCTATCATATACATATTTTCCTATATATTGCCAGACAACATTCTTCCCAAATCCCTTAGCCACCTCTGACTGCTAAAGAATTTTCTAAAAAAAAATTTTTTTTTTTTTTTTTTTTTTTTTGGTACCAGGGATTGAACTCAGGGGCACTCGACCACTGAACCACATTTTGTATTTTATTTAGAGACAGGGTCTCACTGAGTTGCTTAGCACCTCGCTGTTACTGAGGCTGGCTTTGAACTCGATTCTCCTGTTTCAGCCTCTTGAGCTGCTGGGATTACAGGCGTGCACTACCGCACCTAGCTAAAATTTTCTAAAATTTTAAGACAGTCTCACTAAATTGCCCAGGCTGTCTTTAAACTTCCAATCTGCTTGCCCCTCCTGGGATTATAGGTTTGCAGCAATGCATTTGGCCTGATAGACTCTTTGACCAAACTGAGTCAGGATCCTTTGAGTTCTTTTTTTGACTGGCCTTGACATTAGGCTTTGCCCTTAGCCCTCTAAGTCAAGTTAGCCCTCTAAGCAAGAATTTTGCTGGGCCAGTTTAGCAAAAAAAATCTCCCACCACCCTTGCTATTGGATCACCGCCAAAATTAAACTCTTTACCCCACTCTTGGTATCTCATCACCCTGGCTTACCTTCAGCAAGAACTTCCTGTGTGTTAGGCCCAGGAAGACTCCCCCTAACTAGTCTTGTTGTTTCTGCTTAGTAATTTCCATCCACCGATCCCTTCCCCTGCTCCTTTGCTTTAAGTCTCTACTCATCCTTGTATTTGCGGTTGAGCCCAGTCTATATTCCACCATAGCAGTCCCTCCTAAATGGTCTTTCTTAGCCTCTTTAATAAGTATATGAATAATGTTTTTAAAAATATTTTTAATTACATATGAACACAATACCCTTATTTTGTTTATTTATTTTTTATGTGGTACTGAGGATAGAACCCAGTGTTTCACACATTAGGCAAGTGCTCTACCAGTAAGCCACAACCATAGCACTAATGATTTCTTTAATGTGTATCTCATAGAATATTTTTTATCAAATACAATTAGTTACCAGTTATAAAAACCCAATAATAAGCTAGGTCTTGGTCAAGTGGTTTACAGGCAATATTTCACATATTCTCAACTATCTTATAACATGGTTAATGAAACTACTCCTCTTACGGCCAAAGAAGCAGAGGTTCATGTCTCATTAATTCACTTTTATCCTGTTTTTACTCTTTTGTTCTTTGGCAAGATCTGAGGAGACCCAAGTTGTTTGCTGGTCACAGCACAGAGAAAAGTTGCTTTTTTTTTTTAATTATTCATTTTTTTAGTTGTAGTTGGACACAATACCTTTATTTATTTATTTTTATGTGGTGCTGAGGATCAAACTCAGGGCCTCACACGTGCTGGGCAAGCACTCTACTGCTGAGCCACAACCCTAGCCCATGAAAGTTCTTCTTTTAGCAGACATTGATTTCAGCTGTTTGATCAATTGCCTACAGTTAAGGGGTGGGGATCCATATACATGACAACCTGAAACTTTACCTGTGCACTGTGCTCCTGAAAACAGCTATGATGCAAAATCTTCTAGAGCAGTATAGCACCTACCTAGTCCTAGCTTCAATCTCCACCAAGCATCACCAAAAACAAAAGAAAACAAAACAAAACAAAAAAAAAACCCCACATCTCTATCACCTGTTTTATGTTTGTGTTCACTGCAAAAAAATTGCTTTTGTTTCTATGACTTAAGACTCAAGAAGGTCCCCCTTGTTCGCTTCAGCAAGACCAGACACAAACCTTCCAAATTCCCATTCTCTGCAGGCAGAGCTGTGGATACAGAAAAACATGTGGTCAATAATTAAGTGCCCAACTGGCTTGCTGAACCGCCATTCTTGCCAAAGCTTCCTGCTGTTCACAAGCCCAAACCAAAACAGAAATGTTCCCAAACATGAAAAATGTGGGTCAACAGCGTCACCTGAGGGAGTCTGGCCACTTGTCTTCTGAAATGCTGCTCAGCAGCTTCTGGAATGATCTGAAGAGTTCCACTTTGCTGATTCGGGATCTGCTCAGAAAAAGAAGGCAAAGATGATTGCTTATGTACTAGGCCCCTATTCAGAGATATAGGCCTTACATGGTATTTAGGTTTGAAAGTGTCAAGAGCCCCCTTCTGTCCGTACTTGGCAAGGAGAAAATCTAGACTTGGGATGTCTGATCAGGTTGAAGTACAAAAAATGACTCAGTTTAAGAAATGTCATTAGCACTGGAATCATTAAGGTAACAGACTCAATGGAGTACACTGAGAGAGTTTCTAAGACACACCTGATTACCTTCTTTCTTCTTCTTCTTTTTTTTTTTTTTTTGATATGCTAGGGATCAAACCCAGGGCCTTAAGCATGCTAAGCAGATATTCTGAGCTACACCCCTAGCCCCAAAAGATTTTTTTCCCTTTGAGATGGGAACCTGTTATGTTGTCCAGTAGCTACTCCTTTTAAAGGAGCTTGTCTGTGTCAGTAATATGGTTTACAAGAGGTGGAAAACTCAAGAGACATGAGTGTTGTTCCTTGTGTGAACTGTAGTTCTAAGTTCATTTGGACCAGCCACCTGAAACAGAGTCTATAGGCACTCTGGGCTTCTAGAGGCCAAGCCACTGCTCCCAGACAACAAACTTCTGGACAGATGTCAGACTGTTAATACTTAAAGAGTGAGTGAGTGACTGCTTACAACCCTACCTGGGCCTTCTTGACTGCTGCTCATCCATGCCAGATGTGCCTTGACTGTTGTGTGTTGTTTTCTTTTCCCTCATATGCACAATATATGAGATGCTTTTACAAATGCGCAACAGTGTACAGTCGCATCCTTATATGCTGTACTCTGCATCGTTCTAGCAAATCATACTCTCAGCTTGGACGCACAACTGGTATGTATGAAATGGAGAATCACACAGTCTGCCAAGAGCTTCTGTGCCTGGCTGGGACCTGGCCCATTTCAGGAATCACTGCTTACAGGGAACCTTGAGCCCTCACCTGGTGCTGTCCCTCGGCCTGAACTATGCTGAAGTGGCTGCTAGTATTCAGAAACATAAGACTGCTTCAACATGAAAACTAAACAAAAAACAAAGGAACTCCCCTTAACAGATTAAAGGAGAAAAATAACATGAGAAACATGCAGAAAAAACATTTGATAGAATTCAATATCCACTGAATGATTTAAAACTTTTTATCAAACTAGGCATAGGAAAAATATGAAGTTCATAAGGATGTCTATTAAAAACTCATAACACATAAATGTCCTTAAAATCATGAATAAGGAAGGGCTGGGGTTGTAGCTCAGTGGTAGAGCGCCTGCCTATATGGAAGCACTGTGTTCAATCCTTAGCACCACATAAAAAAAAAAAAATCAATCAAATAAAGGTATTGTGTCCATTTACAACTAAAACATTAAAAAAAAACATGAATAAGACAAGATTCTATCCCTGTTTTTATTCAACATTGCTAGAAGGCTGTAGTCAGTAGAACAAGATAAAATAAATGTAGGAAAAGGCCTGAGGGTGTAGCTCAGTAGTAGAGCAACTGCTTAGCATTCATGAAGACCCATGTTTACTCCTCAGCACAAAACAAACCAACAAACAAAAAGATTAAGAAATAAAATCATTATTTGCAGATGACTGTGACATTATGTTTGTCAGTTCTAGTCAGCGCAGTTAAGAAAAGTAAATAAAAGGAGTAGAAGATTGGAAAGGGAACACTATCTAGAGAAGACTATCTTAGAAAATTCCAAAAGAACTCCCAAATTAATAGAATAAGAAGTTAATAAGATTACTGGATTCAAGCATTAAATGCCACAAAAAGGAAAAAGATTACAAAAGCAATGACCAGAAAATGAGATAAAAATAAACTACTTAAAATAGCACCTAGGGTAGTCAACCTGCAAAATGGTCCCCAGTGATTCCTGCCTCTTGGTATTTGTACCTTTGTGCAATCCCCTCCTACAGGGAAATGGGCCTGACCTGTACATAATCATTAGGATATTGTGGTGGAGTGTGACTTCTCAGGTTAGATCATAAAAGTCACTGTGGCTTCTGCCTTGCTCTAGTGGATCATTTTTGTGGAGTAGCAGCCACCACCAAGTGGCACCACTCCCCTGCCAGCAGCTGAGCCTGATCTGTGGGCCACGTGAGTCATCTGTTTTGTAATGGAATCCTCCAGCCCCAGTTACTCCTTCAGAGGACTATAGCCCAGCTAACATAAAGGACTACAAACTCTCAAATCTGTTAGCTGGAATTAGCTAGCTAAGTTCATCCTAAATTCTAGATCCACAGAAATTGTGAAATAAATAATAACTATTAGTTGTTGTTTTAAGCTATTTTTCTTTTGGCATTAGGGATTGAACCTAGGGATGCCAAACCACTGAACCACTTTCCCAGCCGTTTTTATTTTTAATTTTGAGACAGGGTCTTGCTATCTTGCTTAGGGCCTTGCTAAATTGTTGAGGCTGGCTTTGAACTTGCAATTTTCCTGCCTCAGCGTCCCAAGTTGCTAGGATTTATGCACAGCAAGCTGCTATTTTTGCAGCAATTTATTATACAGCAACATATAACTAATGCACATTCATGGCATAAATCTAATAAAAGATGTGAGATATTTATATAAAGAAAATAATAAAAATTCATTGAGACTATAAAACAGCCAATAGTATGTTAAGTGATGGAATAATTCTATAAAAAAATTTTCTTCTTGGGTTGCAACTATCAATAAAAATATTATAGAATCAAAAACACTTTACTGAAAAATATCTAAGACGATCTAAATAAATGGATACTCAAACTACTTGTTATAAATCTGAGGCACCAGTGTTATAGACAGATATACCATATTCCCTGTTTGGAAGACAATACCGAAAGAAGACAATTTTCCTTTAAATTTAAAGGTCCAGCTGGGTGTGGTGGTGCAGGCCTGTAATCCTAGGAGCTTGGGAGGCTGAGGCAAGAGGATCCCAAGTTCAAGGCCAGCTTCAGCAACTTAGCAAGACCCTGCCTAAAAAGGGCTGGGGGTATGTAATGCAGTGGTAGAATGCCCCTGGTACCAAAAAACAAAACAAAACAACACAAGGCACTCTTCAAAGACATGCCAAGGAGAGTAGCTCTAACATAAATTGTCTTATTATAAAGCCAGGGTGAAGAGAATGATTTTGGTATGAGGATAAGCAGAACAATGGAATAGAATAGACGGCCATAACAGATTCACATATATAGGATCCCTCGATTTGACATAAGTGTTCACTTAAGGCATAAAATTCGAATAAAATAACTGTAGTTTCTACTTCTACAAAGAATAAAATGAATCTGTTTGACAGGAGGTTCTTTTTTTAAAATTTTTATTTATTTATCTATTTTTAAATTTTTTTAGATGTTGATGGATCTTTATTTAATTCATTTATTTATAGGTGGTGCTGAGAATTGAACCCAGTGCCTCACACATGCTAGGCAATCACTCTACCACTAAGCCACAACCCAGCCCAGTTATTTTCTTTTTTAATGGTACTAAGGATTGAGCCCAGGGGTGCTTTACCACTGAGCTACATCTCCAGCCCTTCTTTTATTTTTTATTTTGAGACAGAGTCTTTCTAAATTGCTCACGACAGGAAGTTTTTTTTATTGCATACAGGAATCTTTAATATATAACCATACACTGGGTCACTGCAGGTGCACCACAAAGATACTGGACCAAAAACAAAACACAACAAAAACACCCTATTATCTCAAAATGCTTATATTTTCCCCCACCATTTAATAAAGAACTGAATTCTTTATTTTGAATAAAAAATGTATCCACCAAGAGCTAAAACCACAAATAAGGTTCTATAGTTAAAGCTGCCATAAATTAAGAACTGTCAGACTGAAATATTAATTCCCTGGAACTAATGCTTAAGCTATACAACTAAGTCCTTGGAGTTTATATAGCTACATTAGTCAAGTGCAGCTGAACTAAGTTTTATTCAGAAATTATTACTCAAGAAAAAAGTGATCTGTTAAACACTGGAGAAAATATATCCAAAGGGTGGGCACCAAAGGCAACTGTAACGTTGTATCTTTCATCCATCTAATTGTTTTAAGTATAAATGTGTATATAATTTTGCTATTAACTAAAAAACAACCAAACAATTAATTTTAATCAAGATTTTCAGCTTTAAAAACATTTGCCTGATGCACTCATGAAAGAACAAACTGGCTACATTAAGCTGACACCACAGGAACAGCAAGAAACACGCATCATTCCTCTATGGATTTTAGATCCTGATGTTACCATCCATGGAAGTGCACAAGGGAGAGTGGATCCTGTATCTGGGAGCAGGGAACATCTCTTTCAAGACAAAGAAATGGGGCTCCCTGAACGACCTGAGCATAAAAATGGAGCAAGAGAACAATGTTCATAGCTAATAGAAACATTAAGCATAAAGAAAGCCAGGAGAGTTCATGATCCTCAAAGAGGGAAGATTTAGGATTTATTTATTTATTTATTTTTGAATACAGCTAGTACTATGTATCTAGGCTAACTTTTCCCAGATGAAAACAAATAACTTTTTAAAAAATATATTTATTTTTTAGTTGTCGTTGGACACAATACCTTTATTTTACTTGTTTATTTTTATGTGGTGCTGAGGATAGAATCCAGGGTCTTGCATGTGCTAGGTGGGCGCTCTACTGCTGAGCCACAACCCCAGCCTGAAAATGAATAACTTTTAAGTCTTACTGTACATATGCTCTCAAGTAGATAAAAGGATGCCCAGCTATGTTCCTCATTAGCTAGAATCAAGAGTTCATCTTCAGATTTGAGACTCCACACCATTTTTGGACAGTACATTTTATTGATCAAAAGTCTGGAAAGTCTTATAGACTCAATATTTCTCCTGCTCATACCACAGAGAATCAACAAAGAAGGAACATAAAAAAAAATAAACTAATATGCTATCCAGGATGCTCATATTTCCTTTTGATATATTAATAGGTGAGTCCACACTACCCAGTAGCCACCAATGATCAAATATCAGAGGACAATTTATTAAATTATTACTGAGTATTAGTGAAATATGTTGAGGCCTTTCAGTCACAATAACAAGAGCCTTAGTAACCTACCATGTATCATCTGCAGCCTGGAGAACAGATCCACATCAAGGTTCAACATGCCTCCTAAATCTCACTGGAAAAAGACCTACTGAATTCTATTTACCACTCTGATGGCAGTGGAATGTCAAGGCCTCCAGCCTTACTGCAGAAGTCATTGTGCTAGATAGCTTAACTTTTAAGTCTTACTGTACATATCTCGAGACTAGATCTATATAAGTTTTCAACACTCTGCTTTCCAGAAGAACACTTTTAGCCTAGGTCACCTTATCAGTATTGTTAAGATGTTACATCTATAAAGATAGATTGGGAGTATGGGAGGATAGCTCAGTGGTAGAGTGACTGCCAAGTATGTGTAAAACCCTGGATTTTATTGCCAACACTGGAAAAAATAAAATAAAATAAGGTAAATTGGGAATGCTGGAAACCTTTCCTCCGCTGGAGAGCTCTCTCCAAAGAAGCAAGCCTTTTCTCAAGCCCTATTCAACAGCAGAACACAATGACTGCACTGGTAAGTCAGAGAGAGACCTGCTCAACAAAGCTACTGACGTTATCCAAGGAGGCTGATAATTTCTAGGTGGCTGTTAGCTGCTGCTCTGCAGGGAGCCCTGGGTCCTTTTGGCAAGGAGGATAACATTCTGAAGTATTAGGTTCTTCCTTGTGAATTGTTTAAAATCACTAGTTGGTACCAGAAAAAGAGCAAGGAAAACTACACATACATATATGCTTGTGAATTCAAACCGACATTTTAAATACAGCACTCTCCTTACTAGCATACTCAGACACACTTGGATTTTTCTAAAAGTCCCTCATGCTCTTATGAGTCAACAAACCCTATAATGATCTCTCCAGGATATTCTCTACTGGCATGGGAAGAGAATTTGTCTCTTCAGGGCAAAGAAAGGCAGAGTAAAATTAAGCTTTTCAAAAATGAGATCTTGGGCTGGGGCTTTAGCTCAGAGGCAGAGCACTTGCCTTGCACATGTGAGGCACTGGGTTCGATCCTCAGCACCACATAAAAATAAAAAAAGATATTGTGTCCATCTGCAATGAAAAAAATGAGACCTTATCTACTTCCTATTATTACCCCATTATTGGTAAAAATACACAAAGATTTAAATATTTCCTTCTAATGTTACACTAGTCTACCACATTATCTCTAAACCCATTAGGATTTCTATTCCCTGTAGTTCCAAAGAAGGTGGTCCCACAATGCTGGCACTCAGGGATGAGCAGTGAGAAAATCTTTCTCTGAAGCAGCTGTTGGTCTTAGAATAAAGGCAATTCTGCTTCCTTCATGCGTTATAATGATATAAAGCTTCATCTGATGACTAAAAGGGAAACCGATTTTGACAAAAACTGCACACTCTAATGTACTCCATCTTACTCAATTTCACATTATTCCTGTGGGATAGATACTAGCAGCTAATTTGCTTCATAGTTGGGGAAACAAGTTCACAAAGATCGAATAATTTGCTCAAGTCCATATCACTGGGGAGAAAGAAAGTCAGTAATTAAACATTGATCTCTTCAATCCCAAAGCTTCTACTCTTTTTATACTTCCTCCCTGCTTGGAGTTTGCCTTCTAAATGGAGAAACATCCACAATATGTCAGGCCTCAGATCGTCTATCCTCATTTTACAGATATGAATATACTGAGGCCCAGAGAGCAACTGGATTTGCCTCAAATAACCCAGACAGTTGGGAGACAGAGGCAGGATCAGAACATGAGGCATTCTCAATCATACAGGTAAGACTGGCATACTGGGACATTCTGCAGAAAAGCACCATAGGAATCTTAAGAAAGACAGATTTTGAGCCAGAAGGCAGTGGTATTTGAGAGGAGTTCTTCAGATTAAAGGTTTTAGACTCACAGCAAAGAAGAACAATTTTTTTTTTTTTTTCCCTGAGCAAAGCAGCAAAAGGAAGCCACACTCAGCTGGGTGGGGCCAACATGAGGAGATGCAAGGCTGTCACTGACAACAGACACAGAGATCAGCAGGAAACCTGTGGTCCTGTCCCTCATGACCCACTCTGCTCACACATCCTGCTCTACGCTCAGAGCTGGTTCCCTGAAAAGTACAAAAAGTGTCCTGCAACCAGGAACTCCCCTGGGGAAAGAGTGGTCTAAATATCTTTACTCCAAAAAATTTCAGCTGGGGCTCAGTGGTAGAGCGCCTGCCTACCACGTGTGAGGCCCTGGGTTAGATCCTCAGCACCACATAAAAATAAACAAACAAAAGTTATGTCCATCTACAACTAAAAAAATATTAAAAAAAAATTTCAGCTGGGGATATAGCTCAGTTGGTAGAGTCATACCTCACATGCACAAGGCCCTGAGTTCAATCCCCAGCACCACAAAAAAAAAAAAAAAAAAAGAAAGAAAAAGATTCCAGTTCAACAGCCTAGGCTTCTAGGGATAGGCAGGGTCTGCTATGTAGGCTGTCTGAACCCTGGCACTTCGTGGCTGTGAGGAGAAAACCTTTAATCTAAAAAACAAAACACTAAAGAAATGAATACAAGCTGGGTTTTATGGGTTGTTTTGAGACAGGTAAATAAGCACATCAAAACAAAAAACAAATCCATCTGTGAACTTAAATTACAACACAACTTTTTAAAAGGTATAACAAAGAAATGGAAAAGTGATTTAGAATAAAAAGGACTACTTGTAAATTGTAGGAGTTCCAGAGCAGTCACACTGGTGACAATTCAATCCAAACAGACAGAAATGCCTGTGGTGGAGCAGCCTCTCCCTTGAAGCCCTCTCGCCCCAGCTACTACAGACCATGTCTGGCTCACAGGGAGGGAAAAGCATTGGGACTACACTGGCCAGGCAATAGAAAGGGTGCCCCATGGGCATAGGCACGAACCTGCAGGGATGAAACCTGGGTCTCACGTCTAGCAGCCCGCAAACCCTACACTTCGGCAAGAGCCAGCCTGAAGAGGCAGAGTCCTGTTTCCAGATGCCCTTTTGCCAACCCAATCACTGGGGAGCTTCACCAATGCTGCTGCTTGGCCGATGCCGACCTACATAAATCAGAATCCCTAGTGAAGGAGGGATTTTTCTTTTAAAAATCTGTCGAGGGAAAAAACAGGTTTTCCAAGAAAGTGGTGCTGGGACAACTGGGTATGCACATACATGTGGTGAGGATATCCACCACACAGAAAAATCAACTCAAGATGGATCAAAGGCTCTAACCTATAAGAGCAAAACCCCCAAAACTACTAGAAGAAAACATTGAGGAAATCTGATTAGGTAATGGTTTCTTAAATATTACACCAAAAGCACAATCAACCAAAGAAAAAAATACGTAGAGTTAATTCCATCAAAATTTTTTAAAATTTTTGTGCTTTAAAAGACATGATCCTAAAGTGAAATGACAACTCATTGAACTGGAGAAAATATCTGCAAATCACATATCTGATAAAGGACTAGTATCCACAGTATATAAAGCAGGCTTAAAATGCAAACTAAAAAGATAAACAAATTAACAAAGTGGGCAAAGAATGGGAACAAATATTTTGTCTTAAGAAGATAAAAAATGGCCAGGCATGGTGGTGGTACACACCTTATAATCATGTCAGCTCGAGAGGCTGAGGCAGATGATCCCAAGTTCAAAGTCAGCCTCAGCAATTTAGTGAGATCCTGTTTCAAAATAAAAAATAAAAAAAGGGCTGAGGATGTGGCTAAGTGGTTATATACCTCTGGGTTCAATTTCTAGACCAAAAAAGAAGCTGCTGGGCACGGTGGCTCATGCCTGTAATCCCAGCAGCTCAGGAGGCTGTGATAGGAGGATCACGGGTTCAAAGCCATCTTCAGCAACAGCTAAGCAACTCAGTGAGACCCTGTCTCTAAATAAAATACAAAATAGGGCTGGGGATGTGGCTCAGTGGCCGAGTGCTCCTGAGTTCAATCCCTGGTACCAAAAAAAAAAAAAAAAAAAAAAAAAAAAAGCAGCTTACAACAAATGGATAATAAGTACATAAAAAGATGCTCAACACCATTAGTCATTAGGGAAATGTAAATCAAGACCATAATGAGATACTACCTCACACTCAGCAGAATAGCTACAATAAAAAAGAGACAATAACAAGAATTGCACAGGATGGAGGGTAATGGAATTCCCTTTCACATTGTTGGTGGGAATGTGAAATGGCATAGCTACATTATTCACAATAGACAAAAAGTAAAGTAAAACAACCCCAGTACTCATCAATTCATGAATGGATGAGCTAAAAGTGGCATATTCATACAACGGAATATTTTTAACCACAGAAAGAAATGAAGTACTAATACATGCTACAACATGAGTGAACCATGAAAATAAGTTATGTGAATGAAGCCACACACAAAAGGGCACATATTGTACAGTTCCATTCATATGAACTGTCCAGGAGACAAACCCAAGAAGACAGAAAGTGAATTAAGCTTCCAAGTGCTAGGGAGAGGAAGGAGCAGGTAACTAACTGCTAATGGATAAAGTTTTCTTGGTGCGGGGGGTGGCAATGAAAATGTTCTGGAATTATTCAGTGAAGGTGTAAGTTCACAGTCACCATCTCTTCATGCCCCAACATGCTGTACCTGGCCTGAAGACTTCCAATTCCTTTCTTTGTTGTTCCCTGTGGAAAGCCATTGGCAGTAACATCCAATGGCTGCTCAGGAACTGCAGCCCAGCTGATAGCTGCAAAAAGGTAAAATTCTGTGGTTAAAACTGGTTTGTTTCCAATGAATGCCAGAAAATTTTAATAAAAATATTTCTCTGACTCTACATGACCATGAGAGCTGGATAATTTTACTTTGATGTCTGGCCTCTAGGGTACGACAGTATAAAGTGGTTCAGGATTCATTATCATAATAACTTATAATTTCATTGAAAGTTTATTACATTCTAGACACAGAGTAAATGCACGTGATAGAATTTCTTAGTCCTCATAATAAACACAATAAATAATACTCTTCAAATGTGAAGATAAAGAAACTGAGCCCAGGAGAGGTAACTCATTTGCTCAGGGTCACATAGCCATAAACTTAACCTGGTGTGGGCATTTCCACTGTTGACTACTAGAGTGGTAAACTGCCTATTTAAGCTGGGAGGATGCAGACCCTCCCAGACTAGTCTGTCAGGGGAGAAGTTATACTAGGCAAGTCCAACCTGGATCCCTTACCTGCCCCACATGGAACAAGTCGGCCGGGACTGTCAGCCCTTTTTGTCTGCACTGCACAGCGACTCTGTTCAAACAGTAAATCTGACTGCTGTATTTTCAGTTCTTGAACTCCATAACCTTTGGGTAAAGCCAAGACATTTTGACACCTAAACATGAAGGAAAATGTGTTCAGTTCAGGTGCACTTCTCCAGAAAGACTGATCTAGGACTGTGGACCACATCATCATCCCTGAGCCTCAGCGGGAGGCAAAGGCCTTGGGAGATGTGTGAATCTACTTGTTCATTATGTTGGGGACCAGAATGTGTGCCAGGACCGAATCTACATGGTAAGCGCCTATGGGTGGAGGAAGGCCCCTCCTATCACTCTGAAGGGATGACTAAGAATTGAGTCTACGTCATATCAAAATTCATTCTTTTTTTTTTTTTATATTTATTTTTTAGTTTTTAAAATGGACACAGTATCTTTATTTTACATTTATGTGGTGCTGAGGATTGAACTCAGTGCCTCAAGCATGCTAGGCGAGCATTCTACCACTGAGCCATAACCCCAGCCCTCAAAATACATTCTTGCTAAAGGTTTGAGAAAGTTGAAGCAGAATCTTTAACCTGTTGGCAACTGCTTTCCAGGAAATCCTTCAAACACACCAGAAACTGAAAATATTGCCAAATGAAAAGCTTATTTTTTTTCCTTTTGTATCTTTTGCACACATTAGATGCCAACATGATGCTGGTGTAAAACTGTGTAGATAGCAACTCCAAGTCCGAGAAACCTCACACCCATTAGCAGTCACTCTGCTTCCTTCACCAGCCCCTGGCGTCTACTAATCTGTTTTTTTTTTTTTTAATTTTTAATTTTTTTAATTTTTTATTGTTGGTTGTTCAAAACATTACATAGTTCTTGATATATCATATTTCACACTTTGATTCAAGTGGGTTATGAACTCCCATTTTTACCCCATATACAGATTGCAGAATCACATCAGTTACACATCCATTGATTTACATATTGCCATACTAGTGTCTGTTGTGTTCTGTTGCCTTTCCTATCCTCTACTATCCCCCCTCCCCTCCCCTCTACTAATCTGTCTTGATTTGCCCTTTTTTTTAATTAAAAAAATTTTTCTTTTAGTTGTAGATGAGTACAATACCTTTTATTTATGCATTTTTTATGTGGTGCTGAAGATCTAACCCAGTGCCTCACCCTACTAGGTAAGCACTCCACCACTAAGTTACAACCCCAGCCCCATGATTTGCCTCTTTTGGACATTTTGTATGAATGAAATCATACACCATGTGGCTAATGTCACTCAGCAAGGTGTCTTCAAGGTTCAGCACTCCTATCCATTTTATAGCTGAATATTTGATTGTATGGATACGCTGCATTCTTTTTATCTGTTTATCCACTGATGGGCATTTGGGCTGTTTCACTTTTTGGCTATCATAAGTAATACATAATGTTTTTGTGGGGTATATGTTTTCATTTCTCTTGGGATTGTACTGAAGAGTGGAACTGCTGGGTCATATTCAGGTGCTGCTTTTTAGAATCTCCTCCAGAGGCTGTATGTTTCACATGAGCCCATGACACTTCCCTGGCCATGGCTTCTTCTGGTTCTCATTTACTATAGCATTAATCAGGCTTGGCTGCCTCCCTTAGGGAAAACTCATCAGTGCGGTAATTCTTCACCTTTTTAAAAAAATTAAAATTAATATTGAAGGGTTCTATACTATACTGACAACATAAGTATACTCTATAAAAATTAGAAATATAGTAATAACAAAGAAAAAATTCCTCACAATACACAACTTGGAGATAATCATCACTTATATCTTGGTGAACATCCTCCTACAGATTTCTATGTATATATATACTTCAAGATCAAAATGGAGCTCATTTTATGTCCTCAATTGGTCTTTAAATATTATATCTTTTTTTAATTTGTTTTAATTAGTTACACATGACAGTACAATGATCTTGACATATCATACATTTGAATAAAATAGGGTATATTATGAATATCTTTCATATTAAATATTCACCTTTCTTTTGCAGTGCTGGGGATTGAACTCAGGGCTCTATTCAAACTTTTGAGTCATAATATTATTATTGTTATTATTTTTATTTTTGTGATTCTGGAGATTGAACCCAGGGGCACTTAATCACTGAGCCACAGCTCCGGACCTTTTTATTTTCCAACTTTGAGACAGGGTCTCACTAAGTTGTTCAGGCTGGCTTTAAACTTCTGATCCCCCTGCCTCAGCCTCCCAAGCCACTGGGATTACAAGTGTGCGCCACTGTGCTTGGCTTTATTTTATTTTTTGAGAGAGGGTCTTGTTGTGTTGCTGAGGCTGGCATCAAATTTGTGATCCTCCTGCCTCAGCCTCCTGAGTCACTGGGATTAGAGGCATATGCCACCACACTCTGCCCCAATAATATTATTATTATTATTATTGGTACCGGGGATTGAACTCAGGGGCACTTAACCACTGAGCCCCAGCGTAATTTTGTGTGTGTGTGTGTGTGTGTGTATTTAGTTGTAGTTGACACAATACCTTTATTTTATTTAATTATATGTAGTGCTCAGGATTGAACCCAGGGCCCCGCATGTGCTAGGCGAGTGCTCTACTGCTGAGCCACAACCCTACCCCCCAATTTTGTATTTTATTTAGAGACAGGGTCTGAGTTGCTCAGTGCCTCACTTTTGCTGAGGCTGGCTTTGAACTCATAATTCTCCTGCCTCAGCCTCCCATGCCTAAGGGATTACAGGCATTCGCTACTTGCCAAGTGCCTGGCAAGGTATGGAAACTTTTAAGGCTCTCTGAACATATTCTCAAACTGCCCTTCCTCCCTGCCCTCTCACCTTCCAATCAGTGCTCTCTGCATGACTTCCTGGCTGTATGGGCACTTCCCAATGACCACAGCTGACAGGTAGATGGGCTCTTCTAAGAAATGCATCAAAAGTGCACCCTGGCATCCAAGGACATTCCATCGGGCCATCTTGTCACTGCATGACATGGAGCAGGTCCTGTCTCCCCGGCCTGGCTTCACTCGGAGCAACCCCACCTGGTGATATGCAGCACCTGGCTTCCTCAAGTCTTCAGCTTCTCCAGGCACACACTTGGCTCCAGTTCTATAAATGTCCACCACTGTGGCACTCCTGGGAGCTCCACAGGCGACATCGGCCAGTCTTTCTACAGTGAGGTTAGAGCCTCTGACACCTGATGCAAACGAGCCACTGTCTTGCTTGCCATGCTGAGCTGTGCCATTGGTGAAGAACCTGGCAGGAGTTCCAGGCTCAAGCCTCATCTTTTTGGTTACAGGACCGTCAGGGTCTTCGTGTTTCCTTTCATTTTCAGGAGTCTTCACATTACCACTGTCTTCTAATGATAAACTGCTATCCTGATCTCTGATAACAGGACAGCAAGGCTGTTCTTCAAACTCAAGCATTGGAATGATGGAGGCATCGCCACCTGCAGAAGAGGGAACATTTAAACTAATGGTTTTCAAAGTGAGACATCTGGACCAGCCATATCAGCATCCCTCAGGAACTTGCTGGAAGTGCAAAACCTTGGGACCCAAAGTAGACCTTCTGAATCAGAAGCTCTGAAGGGGGTCCCAGCAGTCTGTTTTAGTAATCTCTCCAGGTGATTCTGACACCAGTCCAAGTTTGAGGATCATTGCCTCAAATCAAGATCAATCTGTTCTCCCAGCTAATCTGAGATGAGTTAAGAGCAAATGTCCTTAAGAATGCCTGAGGTTCTTGTTGAAGACTCTGTCCTAGACCCAGTGAGTTGAAGTTTCTGGAGGAGAGAAGTATGGAAAACTCAATATAAAAAAAAGATCTTAAGCTGGGTGTGGTAGCACACACCCATAGTCCCAGTGGCTCAGGAAGCTGAGACAAAGGATTGTAGTTTTGAAGCCAGCCTCAGCAACTTAGTGAGGCTCTAAGCAACTCAGTGAGGCCCTTTTTATTTTTTATTTTGAGATAGGATCTTGCTAAATTGCTTACAGACTCATAAGTTGCTAAGGCTGGCTTTGAACTTGGGATCCTCCTGCCTCAGCCTCAGAGCTGCTGGCTCTGAGAATTCTGGGTGTTGTTCCATATACTAGAGAAAATTCAGTAGCATCCCTGGTCTCTATCTACTAGATGCCCACAGCCCTGCAATCTGATAATCAAGTGTCTCCAGATATTTTCCAAATGTCCCCCAGGGAGCAAAATTTTCCCCAGCTGAGAACCACTGATTTAGAATGAGCAAGGTTTCAGGAGGGTGTGGTGGTGCATCCTGTAATCACAGCAATTCAGGAGGCTAAGGCAGGAGGATTCCTAGTTGGAGGCCAGCCTCAGCAATTAATCAAGGCTCTCAGAAACTCAGTGAGACCCTGTTTCTAAATCTAAATAAAATATAAAAAAAGGGCTAGGGATGTGGCTCAGTGGTTGAGTGCCCCTGAGTTCAAAATCCTTGGTACCAAAAAAAAGAGTTCAATCTCCAACATCAAAAAAAAATTTAATATGGTGCTGAGAGGATTGAACCCAGTGCCTCACACATGCTAGGCAAGCACTCTACCACTAAGCTGCATTTTGTGGATTGCTATCCCATATGATGACTTGGAAAAACAAAAGTGGGTGGTTTATTTCATAATTAAACAAATTTGGCAAACATTGCTCAAAATGTCCTCTCTGGGAGACTTTATGATACATATTCCCACAGCAGAGGGTCTGCAGTAAATTATACCACACTAGTCCAAACCACTGTTTCCAAAACTCCAGTGTCTCCCCTTGTGCTTGTCTATAGAGATTTCTGATTTACTCTTTGGGACCCAAAGAAAACCAGAGGTTAGTAAGAAGCACCATTTCCCTTGAGAAGGAAGTGATTTCTTCAAACACTAATCTAATGCATGTTGCTTTTTTAAGTGTGTAAATAATACATCTGTTGTCTTTATAATGTCAGAGAGGGAAAGGCAAGAGATGTACAAGTGGGAAGTGTTGCCAGAGAGGCTGGCCGGCTGACTTCCACAGACCTCACAAGGTGACAGCAACTTTGCTGACAGAATTTGCTGTGGTCTACCTCCCACTCTAGGCTGAGAGATTATTTGATCTTGACAGAATGAACAGGAGAGGCTGACTCATGCTAATAAAATTCACAAGTAAGAGTCTGAAGTAGCTCACCAAGGCACCAAATTATTAATTAGTAATGAGAAGTAAATGCCCAGGGAGCCAGAGAGTCACATTCTCCAAGTAGCATGTGCTTTCTTCCTGCACATAAGCTATGGGGGATGATGCATTTTAAAAGATTACTCAAAAGGAAAGGAAATCAGATCAGTGGTTCCAGATTTTGATTTCACCGACCAGCCAAATTTCCAGAAGATTTTTGTTTGTTATTGTTGTCGTTGTCTTTAATTTCCAGAGTAAAATTTTAAGATAACAGAGAGTGTAGTGTAGTGGTAAAGCACTGGCCCAGCATGCTTAAGGCCCTGGGTCCAATGGGAGCACCATAAAGGAAGGAAGGAAGGAAGGAAGGAAGGAAGGAAGGAAGGAAGGAAGGAAGGAAGGAAAGAAGGAAGTAGGAGAAAGAAAAGTCTTTTAAGTTTAGCGAACCCAACAACTCTCTTATTTTGCCATGGACTCACAGATCAGCACATCTGTGGACTGCTGGTTTATATAGTTTGGTTGGGCTATCAGTCTGACCCTGGATGCATCTGTCTTCAAAGTAAGATGGGGACCACCCAAGCCCTGGCTACTTAAAGTGTGACCCATAGAGTATCATTACTGGCATCCTCTGAGTTGGTTAGAAATGCAGAACCTCAGACCTCACTCCAAACCTACTGACTGAATTTTAACATTTGTGGATGATCTGTGTGCATATTATGGTTTGAGAAGCACTGACCAGGAAACATCCTTTGGTCCTTGGACTAGTGTACCCACAGTCATGGATAGAGCACAGATGAGCCCTATCTACATGTCATTTTTCTTGACTTCTATTTTTTTTTAATTTTTTTGTTGTAGATGGACACAATACCTTTATTTTTTACTTATTTATGTGGTGTTGAGAAACAAACCCAGGGCCTGATGCATGTGAGGCAAACACTCTCCCACTGAGCCACAACCCCACCCCTTGACTTCTACTCTTAATCAACTCATTTCCATCCTTATCCTTTTTTTTTTTATTTTAAGAAGAGAGAGAGAGAGAGAGAGAGAGAGAGAGAGAGACAGAGAGAGGAAGAGGAGAGAGAATTTTAATATTTATTTTTCAGTTTTTGGCGGACACAACATCATCGTTTGTATGTGGTGCTGAGGATCGAACCCGGGCTGCACGCATGCCAGGTGAGCGTGCTACCGCTTGAGCCACATCCCCAGCCCTCCATCCTTATTCTTTTTTGAGCTATAACAATATTTTCAACCTGCATTATGATCAAATCTTGACAGTTCTTTTGTCTCTTTATAATGATTACCCATCTCTGCTTTACTTGCATTAAAGTTCAATACCCAGAAGACAATCTTATATCCTTTTTTTTTTTTTTTTTTTTTTTTATAAGATCGCCGTAGGTTTTTTTTTTTTTTTTAATTTTAATATTTTATTTTTTTTTAATATTTGGCGGACACATCTTTGTCTGTATGTGGTGCTGAGGATCGAACCCGGGCCGCACGCATGCCAGGCGAGCGCGCTACCGCTTGAGCCACATCCCCAGCCCCAATCTTATATCCTTATGTCAAAGTTTTTAGGGTGAAGAAATTCTACTGCCAACACTGAGTTGTTGTTTACAAAAGAATAGGCAGTATTTTCAGCTTTTGAGAAAGAAAAACAGAAGAAAGAAATGACCCCTTAGGTTATCTAGGTCTGTTCTTCTGTTTTTTTGTTTTTGGTACTAGAGATTGAACCCAGGGGTACTCTACCTCTGAACTGCATCTCCAGCCCTTTTTATTTTATTTCTGAGACAAGAGTTTAGCTAAGTTGCTGAGACTATAACTCCTGAGACTATAGCTCCTGAACATCCCCTAATAACTCAATAACATTAACCCTAAATAACCAGGACAGTCTACATGGCCTAAAAGACTCTATTATGATAAGCAACTGTTACTATATTCAGTATGTCACATTGTGCCTGGCTAGTAGAAAATGTGTTCAATAAGTCAATGAATGAAACGAGTTTCAGGCTAAGTTATCATAGCAGGACTTTGGACTCCTGAGTCCCATCGTTGGCTTCATATCTAATAGAGCTTAATTCTGAGAACTGCATGAGTGAGACTCTATCCACCTCTCCCTACCTGTGCCCATTGCCTTCCACCAGTAGAGAATTGACTAGGTACATAAAAAGGCGCTGTCACCTACTGTAGCTATACTTTAGCCAGAGGACTATTTCTGAGAAACATCTCTATGGGTAAAACAAACATAAAGAAGTAAACAATGCAACATTAGTACAAAGGCTTGAATATACTTACAGGGCGTATGGCTGGAGAAAAACACAAACAAGAGGTTGGGTCTGAGTTTCCACAGTCCTCTTTGAGTTCCTGGGACAAAGATACTCTCCTTGTTTAGGGTAGCTGCCAATTGCAGCTGATAGAGAAGGTACCTAAGGATTGTAAAATATGACCAGAATGAACAAGTTGGCTGGGGGTATAGCTCAGTACTGCAAAAACAAAACAAAACTCCCACACAGACTGATGGACCCACCCTAGAGATTCTAATTTAGCAGATCCAGGGTAGACACTGTCTTACTGCTGAGGCTGGCCTTGAACTTGTGATCCTTCTGCCTTAGTCTCCTGAGTCACTGGGATTACAGGCATGTGCTACTGCATTTGGTTAGCTTTTTATTTTTTTTAATGTTTTCAATGCTGGGGAATTGAACCCAGGGCTTCGAACATGCTAGGCAAGCAGTTTACCACTGACCTATCTGGCTTTTATCAAGCTTTCTAGGTGACTCTAATGCACATTCTAGTTTGAAATTTAGACCACAGCAGTTTACAGACTGACAATCTATATTACCTGAGTGTTTAGTAGAAACACAATTCTGGGTCACCATCCCAAACCCAGGGAATCAGATTCTCTGGGGATATGGCTTTACCTTTGGAAACTCCTTCTGGCTATAACCTCAGCATGGCTATCGTTGAGAATATCTCCTATGGCAAAGACAGGAGTAGGTGAAGACATATGGAAGACATACTGGAGAGGCCCTAGTTCCTAGAAACAGAAAACAGCAGTACCCCAGCACTCAGGATGGCCATGGAGCTCCTGAAGGGCTTTGCTATAAGGTATCACAATTAATGGTAAAGCATTTACAGCTTGGTTTCTCAACTCGGCATAGACATCAGGGGACAGATAATCCTTTGCTGCAGGGGACTAGCCTATGCATTACAAGACGTTTAGCAGCACTCCTGACACTTCAAAAGATGCCAAGAATAACCCTCTCCCAGTGGTGACACAAAAAACACATCTAAACATTGCCAAATGTACCCTGGTATGCAAAATTGCCCCTAGATGAAAAACATTGATTTATAGAAAAATCTCTACCTGGAGACCAGGGTACAGATATACAAAAGATCTGGTATCATATTATGCTAATGGTTCCGATTCTATCTAATTCTGTCCTGGGACAGCTTCCTCATATATAGGAGGCAAGGCTCAGAGAATGCAGCAAGCAAACTCAAAAAGGTACCTCCTAACTAGAAGCAGAAGATAATGATCCCAGACTCTATAAAGAATTTCCATATTCTGTTGGTACCAAAAGCTCCATCTAACTCAAAATTGCTTCTGGGACTTCAGAAGCCACTTGAGCTACATCCTGCTATAGAGCCTGAAAGCCTTCCAGGCAATAATCTGGAATAGTTAAACCCAAGGAACTTGTAGTTTGAGTATGAAAATACTGACTAGATTTCAGTTCATCCAGAAAGCATGGTCCTGGTGACCTTTGCTTTCCCTTTGAATTTCCATTCTTTAAATAAGGACTGTCTTCCAATTGGAGTGAGAGTCAATAGGAAATGAGAGGTCAGCTACCTCAACTAATATGGCCCTTTTTCCCTGACAAGGAGAGCAAAGGTTAACATGGACACTGGTTTCCAAAGCTCCCAGGGAGACAATTCTTTGCTTAGACCCCTACCCATGCTTACCACTCTTCCTCATTTTGGATTGGCCTATGCATTTCGTTCCTGTTCCCATTGAGACAACTTCCTTTGTCACTGAGAGGAAAAAACAAATCATTAAGTGAGCTCTCAGAGGCTAAATTTTCCCCCGTGCTCAGGCTTAATAATTCTGCAGAGGATTCCCACAAAAGGTCTCCCGCCACCTAGTGGATATCAGAGAAACATGCCTAACATCGTAGTTGCAACCTGCCTACAACTGTCCCTGAGTAGCAACACACAATTCTATCATCTCTGAAAGGGACAGGAGAAAAGGTCTTACCGTGCACTGGCTTATCAGGAGTGTCACTGGCCTCATAAATTGGAAACTGTATCTTCACTACAGCTGCCAACAATGTCCATTCACGGTTTGGCTCTGGCTTCCCTTGCTTGGGCAGCCTGATCTCATAGTGCTTATAGCACAGCTGAGCGATCTCATCTGGGGTCCACATGGTTGGAGCTGGTGCTGAGGCCCTGATCAAAACCCACAACCATCACAAGTATAGAAAGGAGAACCAGGGGTTGGGGATGTGGCTCAAGCGGTAGCGCGCTCGCCTGGCATGCGTGCGGCCCGGGTTCGATCCTCAGCACCACATACAAACAAAGATGTTGTGTCCGCTGAAAACTAAAAAATAAATATTAAAAAAAAAAAAAAAAAAAAAAAAAAAAAAAAAAAAGAAAGGAGAACCAGTACCAGATCTACAGCCTTGCACCAGTGCTTCGACAGTCTTTTTTCAGTGTAGCCCAATTACGTTCAGATTAAGATTCCCCTATATGTAACTCTAGTTAATTTTTTCCCATTACCTCCCTGCCCCTTCTCATCTTTAATTTGAAAAATTAAAGCCCCAAATCCCAAACACAGAAAACCTTGTTTCTTCACGAAAGAATATTTGATGTCTCAGAAATATCCAATGAATGTATATCTACTACTCAACACAAAAGCAAATGACAGGGAAGTGTCCTCACTACTTTAATTTCCATTTGGAAATAGTGCATAAAGGTTTGCAGAACTCAGCTTGTTTTGAGCAGACTCTCACCCATCCAAAGTTTATCTTCTTAGACAGAAGTTCTTTTCAGAAGCACTTTGTTTTTCTCTTCTTTCCCTACAACAGAATGAATCTCTACCTCCCTCTAGAAAATCACCTTGGGAAGTATCCCACTAGTCAAAAGTTCTTAGAGGAACTGTGTGCTTAAGGATTTAGGCACGGAGTTGCCCTTTCTGGGTTCTAATTCCAGCTTTCCACAAATGAACTATATAATATTGGGTAGCTTGGTAACTTTTCTGTTTGTTTCCTCATGGTTTAAAACAGTGATAAGAGCAACCAATTAGAGTTACAAATAATATTTATAAAAGCTACCATGCTGAACAATTAATACCAACTGTGATTAATATTACAAAAAAAAAATTTGATGACTGTTGTGGGTAATTTACCTTGATCTACTTGGTGGTGCGTAAGGACTGTAATGGGCACATGAGGTCATGAATTAAAAAAAGAAAAAAAAGATCACTCCTGAAAAAGGCCTGGGATATTTTGTAGGAAACTCTTGTACTCTAGGTTGTATCGGTGCTCACTAGATACATCCTGACCTCACTTGGACTCAATTATATAAAAGCTTCTTAGTAGAAGATGTGATCATACCACAAGGAATATAGCTAAGCACTGTAAAACAAAACACAAACAACAAAGGTTATATTGTACTTCAAATGTATGTAGCTTGTGAAAGATACTTACACAATGCTATTATTGCAATAAGTCACTAAGTAATGATAGATATTTCTACTCACTGCTATTACAGCAATAAATGGTAACGGTTAATTGGACCATAGTGATTTTAAACAAAAATCTTGTAGGACCCGACAGATTGTGATTTTACAGTCAGAGAACCACAGAAGTCTTGAATCTATTCCCCTCCCCCAACCACTGAGCCACATCCCCAGCCCTTTTTTGTATATTATTAGAGACAGGATCTCCCTGAGTTGCTTAGGGCCATGCTAAATTGCTGAGGCTGGGTTTGAACTCACCATCCTCCTGCCTCAGCCTCCCCAGCAGCTGGGATTACAGGCCTGCACCACCAAGGCGGGAAGTCTTGAATCTTTAGAAGCAAAGAAAAGTATGGAAGATCCTAAATCCTTCATTTGGAAGGGATGCCCCCCTGTCATTTCCAGGGAGGCATCACAAGCAGTATATTTTATGAAGGCAGATACCCTGCCATCCACCTGAAAATAATGCAAAGATGCACATAACAAACTAAGGCAGTCAAGGAAGGGAGAATTTGCCAGAAGAAACAGTGTCTCCAAGAAAGCAGTCCAAACTACATCATCTCATTCAGCTAGCTAATGCTAACGAACACACGCAGCTGCTAAAATGAATGAAAATTTTAATGGGTCCATTATAATTCAAGTCTGCACCCCTTCCAGAGCCTGAAAAACACCTTCATATAAAACAGCTCAGTTAAACAGGCGTTCCTTTGCCCACAAGGTCGCATTTTTTAACAGCTGCAGCAAGCTGAAGAACGTTCTTCCTTTCCAAAGAAAAGTCAAGTCAGCTACAGGGGAGCTTTTTCGGGATTTGGTGGAGCGGAAGGCTACTATTCGCTAACCCCTTGCTAAATCCGCGGCCAAGGAAGACCGCGAGGCTCCGGCGCCGTCACGGGGGAACTAGGCGAGCGCTGACTCGCGGGTCACGGGGAAGCGGCTCGAGGCTGCACGCCGCGCCCCCGCCACGAGAGCGCTCCACGCTGAGCCTGTTGACAACTCCGGGCGTGGACCGGCCCGTTCCCACGTGACATGTGTCCCTTCTTCCCATACAAAACCGAACTGGCCACGCCAGTCCCAAGGCACCTGACCCAGCGACCCAGAAACCCCCCAACTGCGCGCCCCTGACCCGGGGACTCCCATCCCTAGTAGACGCACCCCTTCCACCTCCCCGACGCGCGGCCCGGGAGGGAACGAGCTTCAGCTCAGAAGCCGAGGGCCGCCGCGGACGTGACGTTTAAAGCAACTGCGCCTCCCAGGCCCACCCCCAGATGCGCGCAGTGCACTCTGGGCCTTGTAGTCCTCCGGGAGGCGGAGGCGGAGCCAGAGCCGCGGTGCCCGCCCTTAGAGTCCTGCGGCCTCTGCCGCACACTTAGGTTCGCGAGAAACCCGCTGATGGGAGACCTCTGCAGGTGAGATGCGGTTTGAAATAGGATGATGTATCTTTGAATTCTGGTTTGGATTTCTGTCTAAACGAGCACTTTTCCATAGAAATATAATTAGAGCTACTGTAGTTAAATTTTTCTAGTAGCCATATTAAAAAAAAATAGTAGTGTGAATCATATATTAGTTTTTCATACTGTTTAAGAAATTTGGTGTGTATTTTACAATTGCATCTAAATTTGAAGCGATCACATTTCAATTTATCTATAGCCACACGTGGCTGATGGCTACTGTAGTGGGCAGGGTGGATCTAAAGCCTCCAGTGTGCCAGCTATAGGAAATATAGCTGTCTAGAGAGCTCAGAAAACTTTACCATCCAGCAATTATATACATCAATTGCTAAAGGTGAGAAAACTCATTTTTCTTCCTGAATCCATCAAAAGTTAGAGGCAGAGGGACGCGATGGCGCACATCTGTAATCCCAGTGGCTTGGGAGGCTGAGGTTCAAAAACGAGATGCTAAGCAACTCAGTGAGACCCTGCCTCTAAATAAAATACAAAATAGGGCTGGAGATGTGGCTTAGTGGCCCCTGAATTCAATCCCTGGTGCCTCCGCCCCCCCCCCCAAAAAAAAAAAAAAAAAGAGGCATAAGTGCTACTTGCTTGACCTGGTCCTTCTGTCTAGCTCAGAGGAAAAGAACTACAGACCTCCTCCAAAGCTAAGGACACTGCTTGCCATTTCTCTCCCCAAAAATCATTAATATGCATCTCTCCATTCTGTCACACACATTCCAGTGTGTGGGGTGAGGTCATCTTGCAGCATTCTTTCACCTCAGGGATTGATATTACGGTCAACCTAGCTGCATAAAGTAAAAAATGAGCACCCTCATCATTTCTCTTAACACACACACACACACAGTCCAATCCATTGCCATGTCCTGTTGATCTTACTTCCTATCTTGAACACATCTGCTGCTTTGTACTTCCAAGGCAATCTCTTATCCAAGCCACTGTACTCTTTCTAAGGTTGATTTCTAATCTCTGAATTTTCACCTTTTTCTTGTCTAACTCCCATTTATTTCTATAGAAGCCTGACTGGTCTCTTCAAACCACACTGTGATGGCACCCCCCTGCTTAAATACTTCAGTGGATTCCCAGCACTTTTGTGTGGGTGGGGTGGGATGGTAACTGGGGATTGAACTCAGGGACACTCAACCACTGAGCCACATCTCCAGCCCTTTTTTTGTATCTTATTTAGAGACAGGGTCTCACTGAGTTGCTTAGTGCCTTGCTGTGGCTGAGGCACTCCTCCTGCCTCAGCCTCCTAAGTCGCTGAGGTTACAGGCGTGCACCACTATGCCCAACTAGTCTGGGTCTTGATCTTAAGTGTAGCACTGTTTAGAATTCTATGCACCCTTAGGACAAACACTGACACCACCCATGAGGTTGTTTGAAACTCAACCATAGGGCCTTTTTCTTTGCCTAAGAGACCTAGAGGACATGGGAAAATGAAGTCTTTCAACCTTAGGTTTTACTGCTCTAGGTCAATCCCCATCTATGTTGAGGCGGCTAAATAGCAGGCATTCAATGGCCAGGGAGCAAACCCAGGCCTCTAGCATGTGAGGCAAGTGCTCTACTGAGCTGCTGGAATTACAGTGCACCACTGCGCCCTCCCAGCTCCCAGCACTTTTAGTAAACAGAAAACCCTACATAGTAGGGCTCAGAGCCCTGAATGCCCAGCCTCTTCCTGTCTCACCGGGTGTCCTATTTCTTTAGGTTTCTGTACTCAGATTATCTATCTAGTATCTTTGCTTTATTTCTGTGCTCCTTTCTACCATAAGGCCTTTGTACTGTTTCCAGATCATGGTAACACCCTCCTCCTTCGTTGACTTTCCTTTAGATCTCAACTCTAATGTCTTCAGAGAAACAAACCTTTCCTACCTCAGTTTGTCAGTTTCTCAGTACCCCATGGATTTCTTCAAAGCGTTTACCAGAGCTGGCATTTTATACAAATTTTGGTGGATGATTTTTTAAAATCTTTCCTTACAAGTCTAGAACTTAAAGTCTGGGACCACGTGTTTCTGCTTACTCTAGTATAGAAGTCAGCAAACTGTCAGCCTTCAATTGTTAATGAGGACTCTTTCTGTTCCCTTCTAGCTTTCATCCTGTTTGTCAGTTTCCTGATAAACCCCACATACAAGTTTACTGCTATCTATTCCTCCATTCCCAGAGGCTTAGGCCAGACAGCTGGTTTCTGTTTCCAGCCTGCTGAATAAATCTTTCATCAGTCCTGATAGCTTTTTCCAATGGTCCACATTGACAGTGTTGCCACAGCCCAGTCCCTTATCTGGTCTTGATCCTCTACACACTCCCAACGGAGGGTTGGCTTTCTCCATCTTAATTAACATTGCCTTTCTGAGGATGTACCATATTGGAAGTGTTTCTTTTTTAAAAACGATCTGGTTATCCATAGCTTAACTATCCATAGGAGTGGGGATGCTCCACACTCCCAGTAGTTCCCAGTTAGATATGCTGCAGACTTAGATCATTTTACCAACTACAGCAGTAGAAACCTGCTGTATGAAAGTAGACTGGCAACTCCCAAACTAGGACACTTGCTGAGGTGCAAATGACGAGTGCTTTCTGATACATGACTCTTCTGAATACTGGTCTCTCCAGCTGCTTCCATGTCAGGGAGAAGGGGCTCCATTCTAACAACAGGCTCTCAGCCACACCCTGTCATGTCATTCTCAGCCCTGCTGAATTAAGCTAAAAATGAGAAAATTTCAGGCTCCCTATTGACAGGATCATCTCTACCTGCATGTCTAAAAGTTATGACAAACTTAATAGGTCCCAACCAAACTCTCATCTTTCCCTCTTAAACATGCATTTCCTGAGTTTTTTCCCATCTCAGTAAATGGTGACTCTACTTTTCTAGTTGTTCAGAACTGAAACCCTGAAATACATTTTTTCTCATCCCACATCTCATCAGCCAATTCTGTTGCCCTCAGAAACCAGTGAAGTGCAACAATTTCCATCGCTAACACCCAAAACTAAGCTATCTCTCCCCAGCCCAGTACAACAGCTTGCTTTCACTCTTGCTCTTCACACACTAACTAGAATCATCCTTAAAAGTAATTCTCTGCTCAGCTCTCCAATGGCTTTCCATCTTGCTCATTATGAAATAATTCTGTGACTATCACAGGCTTGTACAATCTGGCCCCTCACTGTCCTTTACTAATCCCTTTGCTATTCCTCAAAAATATGGTTCTCTAGTCTGGACTGCCCTTTTCCCACTCATCTCTCTTTCCAGATCTTTACTTAATTGTCCCATAGCACAGGTATTTTTGATAGCCATATTCAAAATAGCACTCCCCCATCCACATCCAGAATAGCACCTCTGTCCCCTCACCCTGCTCTTTTTCTTCTTTGTGTGTACCCCCACCAGAAAGAATACCTGTTTACTTGTTTCTTGTCTATTTCTCCTACTGCTGCCCCAACCAAAAAGAATACAAATTCCATGAAAGTAGTGGTTTGACTTTTGTTCACTGCTGTGCCCCCAAATCCCTTAAAACAATGCCCACACAGAGCAGACAGTAATACAAATTTGTTCCAAGAATAAGATGAGACAATCCTAAGCATTCATTGAACCAGCAGTCTGAGTAAAGAGTTACCAGTTCAAAGATAGAGACAAATGGTTTATTTGGTAACAAGGAGTAAAAAGAATCTCTTAATTCATCTTCTCTCTTCTGGTGGCTGAACGGAACTATGGTAGTCAAATAGATGGCAACATAAAAGAATTCCCTCGCAGACCTGATCTTTTGCAGAAATGCAAGGATTCCTGATTACATGCTCTGGAACTGTTTTCTACACAGAAGTGCCAACTGTTGTGCCTTCCAGTTTATCAGTGGTTGTTACAGTCTCCTTCTTGTCTTCAGGCTTCATAGCAGGAAACAGGAGTACCTCCTATAGGAGATAAAGATGCATTTTGAAGCTAGGAGGCATTCTATTCCTTTTGCCTCTGTTAATGTTACCACCCAAATCCACTAAAAAAATCAAAGTGTTCTTTTATTTCAACTCAGTCCCTCTCAGTAACAGATGGAAGAGAATGAATGCACAGCACTATTTAGGGTGCCATAGAATTAGTAAACATGCATGCTATTAAAATTGGACAAAAATCGGGTTTCCACACTTAACAGGGCTGACTTAAATTAAATGAACTAACACCTGTAGAGAGCTCAGCACTCTCCTGGAAACTCATGAAATGCAAATAATCAGTATTCCTCCTGCTCATAGGGAGAAAACTAAATCCTCTAAAGTCAGATTGCTCTCAGCTGCCTCCCGTGGAGCCACCTCCTCCAACAGCTCCTCCCAGTACCCCCGAAACTTTTCTTTTTCTCCTGGGCCACATGCTCTGCTTCCAACACAAAAGAGTTTTGGGCAGTGTGTGCTATGGAGGGCTGCTGTGTACCTTGATGTTATTGGAATCTGTGAGAAACATGGTGATGCGGTCAATGCCCATGCCCCAGCCAGCTGTAGGGGGCAGCCCATATTCCAGGGCAGTACAGAAGTTTTCATCTATGAACATGGCCTCATCGTCACCAGCAGCCTTGGCCTAGAAGAATAAAAAGAACCAAAAGATGACACTCTTCCAGGACATATCAATATCCAAATGAACACAATGAAACATCTGAAGGAGTACCTCCTA